CCGCCTCCATCCCGCCGCTCAGCACCCACAGCTGGTCCAGGGCCAGGCGCAGCTGTGGGCGCAGGCTGGTGCCATGTCTGCCGAGGGGAGAGGCAGGAGGTGAGCTGGAGGTGGCCTCCTCGGGCTTCCCGCGGGCAGAGCCCTGTCCCCCACCTGCCCTTGGCAGGGAGGGAGGGAGGGACCCTGGGGCATCCAGCACCAAGGTGCCAGGGCTGGGGGAAAGGCAAGGCAAGGCAAGGCAAGCCGCCCCCACCCTCCCCCAGCCCCTGTGCACATTTTTGCACGAGTGTGAAGTTCCCAGCAAGGGGGAGAGACACCCCCATTTCCCCCCCCCAGCCCCACACCAGCATCTGACCCCGGTGGCACTTGTGCCAGGGCCACCAGCGCGGTGGCTCTGTGCCAGGGACCCCTTTTCACTCATCTGCTCCGGGGGGGGCTTGTTGGGGTTCACGGGGGTGTTGTCCCCCTGTGCCCTGCTCTGTCCCCCCCGTTCCTGGCATGAGTTCCCACCACTGGCCCAGGAATTGCTGCTGGAGCATCCGCAGGGTTTGTGGGGGGGTCCTGGTCAGACTGTGCCCCCCACTGCGTTTGGGGTAGCCACGGTGGGCTCTGTCCCCGTCCCTCAGGACCAGCCCAGGTCCTGTTGTGCTGGGGGGGCTGGAGGGTCACGCTGTCCCCCCTGAGGTCTGAGCTGCATTTTGGATGGGGGGGGCGTGGGGCTGTCAGAGCGGTGGCGTTTGGTGCAGCTGCATCCCCGTCCTGGGGTGACTGCGTGGGGGGAAACTGAGGCAGGAGGGAAGCGGGAGCTGCTCCTTCCCCTTCCCGTGGCTTTGCTGTGTCCCGAGACCCCCCCACTTCCCAGCGGGGGGTTTGGTGCTCCCAGCCCCCCCCCTCCTGCCGCAGCCGCTCTCCCGGCCAAGTTTGTTCTGGAGCGGGATCCCTTTTTTCCTCTTTCCCCAGCGCTGGAGCCCACGTCTGGAGCTGCCATTGTGGGTCCTCCCACGCGCCGCAGCGGGGCCAGGCCCGCGCCGGCTGCTGTGCCGCGGCGGAGGGGGCAGCCACGCTGGTGTCGCTCCCCCCTCGCCAGGGAAATGCACCCCCCCACCACCTTCAGCAGAGCCCCACAGAAAGGGGGCTTCTCCCCTTCTGGTCCCTCGGTGGGACCAGCCTGGTGCTGGGAGGGGACCCTACTTTAGGGGTGCACCCGTGTTGTGGGATGCTGAGTGGGAGGGCTGCACGCCCAGTAGGGACCAGTCTGGTGCTGGGTGGGGACCCCGTTTTGGGGGTACATCCGTGCTGTGGGATGCTGAGTGGGGGGACCAGTGTCCTCAGTGGGGACCAGTTGGGTGCTGGAAGAGACCCCACAATGGGGGTGCATCTGTGCTGTGGGGGGCTGCATCCCCTTTGGGGACCAGTCTGCTACTGGGAAGGGATCTGACTTTGGGGGTGCATCCATGCTGTGGGATGCCAAGTAGGGGGCTGCATCCCCTTTGGGGACCAGTCTGCTGCTGGGAGGGGACCCCACTTTGGGGGTGCATCCATGCTGGGGGATGCTGAGTGGGGACCCGTTTGGTGCTGGGTGGGGACCCTGTTTTGGGGGTGCATCTGTGCCATAGGATGCTGAGTGGGGGGCAGCATCCCCTTTGGGGACCAGTCTGCTACTGGAAGGGGATCCAGCTTTGGGGGTGCGTCCGTGCTGGGGGATGCTGGTGGGAGGCTGCATCCCCAGGGGGGACCAACCTGCTGCTGGGAAGTGACCCCACTTTGGGGGTGCATCCATGCCATAGGGTGTCAAGTGGGGGGCTGCATCCCCTTTGGGGACCAGTCTGGTGCTGGGAGCAGACCCTGCTTTGGGGGTGCATTCATGCTGGGGGATGCTGAGTGGGGACCCCATTTTGGGGGTGCATCTGTGCCATAGGATGCTGAGTGGGGGGCTGCATCCCCAGTAGGGACCAGTCTGGTGCTGGGAAGTGACCCCACTTTCAGGGTGCATCCATACCATAGGATGTTGAGTGGGGGGCTGCATCCCCTTTGGGGACCAGTCTGGTGCTGAGAGGGGACCCTGCGTTGGGGTGGGGGTGCATCCATGCTGTGGGATGCTGAGTGGGGGGCTGCATCCCCAGTGGGGACCAGTCTGCTGCTGGGAAGTGACCCCACTTTGGGGGTGCAGCCATACCATAGGATGCTGAGTGGGGGGCAGCATCCCCTTTGGGGACCAGTCTGGTGCTGGGAGCAGACCCTGCTTTGGGGGTGCATTCATGCTGGGGGATGCTGAGTGGGGACCCCATTTTGGGGGTGCATCTGTGCCATAGGATGCTGAGTGGGGGGCTGCATCCCCAGTGGGGACCAGTCTGCTGCTGGGAAGTGACCCCACTTTGGGGGTGCAGCCATACCATAGGATGCTGAGTGGGGGGCTGCATCCCCAGTGGGGACCAGTCTGCTGCTGGGAGGAAACCTGTGTTGGGGTGGGGGTGCATCCATGCTGTAGGATGCCAAGTGGGGGGCTGCATCCCCGGTGGGGACCAGTCTGGTGCTGGGAGGGGATGCTGCGCTGGGGTGGGAGCGCATCCATGTATGCTGGGGGATGCTGAGTGGGGACCCCATTTTGGGGGTGCATCTGTGCCATAGGATGCTGAGTGGGGGGCTGCATCCCCAGTAGGGACCAGTCTGGTGCTGGGAAGTGACCCCACTTTCAGGGTGCATCCATACCATAGGATGTTGAGTGGGGGGCTGCATCCCCTTTGGGGACCAGTCTGGTGCTGGGAGGGAGCCCTGCGTTGGGATGCCGGGTGATGGGGTGAGGTCAGCCCCCCTGTGTGACCCCCCCCATGACCCCCCTTTCTCCTTTTCGCCCTCGCAGGGGACCGCTTGCGGCAGACGGAGAACCGGGCGACGCGCTGCAAGGTGGAGCGGCTGCAGCTGCTGATGCAGCAGAAGCGGCTGCGCCGAAAGGCCCGGCGGGACGCGCGGGGTCCCTACCACTGGCTGCCCAACCGCAAGTCCGGCCGCACCAACAGCAACAGCAGCGTCTCCAGCGAGGGCAGCCTGGACCTGGACTTCGAGGACTCGGTCTGGAAGCCCGAGGTCAAGGCGGACATGAAATCCGAGTTTGTCGTAGCATAGAGCCGGCGGCCCCCCCCTCCCACCCCGCTCCCCACCCAGGGATGGGGCGCCCCGAGGCCGCGGACTCTGCCGCCGGGGGGGGGGGACACCCCCAACTCCCGCCGCCCCGGCTGGCGGTGGTGTCATTTCTGTTGTCATGGGCCAGATCTCCTCTAGATTTGCCATCTCCTGCGACCGGACACCCCGGGGCCGACCCTGCGTTTCACAGGGGGGGGTGGTCGGGGCAGCCTCACACACACACGCCCCCCCCTCACCCTCCCCCAGCTTGTTTGGGTTTGGGGAGCCGGGGTGGGGGGAGCAGGCAGGAGCTGCCAGCCCTTTCCCACATCCTCCCAGCTGGGAGCGGGGGGTCCCGGCAGCTGGGGGGGGTCCCTGGGGGGTATCGAAGCTGCTGCTTTGCT